GAGCCGCGAAGGGGGAAGGCGGGGCGGCCACTGGAGGTGAGACGGGCGACGGCAGAGACGCACGCGGGAGGGTCTCCCGGGCCTGAGCCTGGCCATGCCCCGTGTTACCGTGGAGAGCAGATCTGGCCCCGCTCTCTGGCCTGGCACATGGAGCCGCCACTGAACATTAGGAGCCGGGGGCGGGGGGGCTGGAGCCCAGCCCTGCCCAGGGGTTAGCGGAGGCCGGAGGGAGAGGGCAGCGGGGTGGGTGGGCCCCTCCCCATGCTAATGGCGGCGTCTCTGGGTTTCTCGGCAGGTTTTGCATGGCTGGACTGGCCCTGGCTCTGGCCCTGCTGACGGCCCCGCTCAGCCAGGGCAGCAGGAAGGTGAGTCCCACCTTACGGCTGGGTTTGGGGGGCCGGGAGGGGGGCAGAAGCTTGGGAAGCACAGAGCCGGGCTGGCACCCTCCCCCGCACTGGCCTGGCCCCACGTGGCTAACGGGGCAGACCCTGGACCCCTCCTCGAGAACAGAGGAAACGCCTGGTTGGTCCCATCTGCCCACGGAACGAGGCCGGGGGGTTTCTTCCGAGTCTCTCTCCTGCCTAGACCTGCCCCTTACGCGCAGGAAACCCGGCACCTGCTCGGCTCCTGGCTCCCGCCGGACGGGAACTGTCCTTCTGGGGCCTGACGGCCGGGGCGTGTTCCCTGCCCTGAGCTCAGCTCCCGCCTTCTGCTGCGTGGCTGGATGCCTGAGGCCGGCCACGTCGGGAAACGTGACGGGGGGAACCGCCCCGGTTGGTAGGATGCTGCCTTCCGCACCTTTGTCCTTGGGCTCCCCCGGGCTGGACGGGCAGGCACCATTGGGAGCATGTCTAGGGGGCTGCCCCCAGGGCGCATGGGGTCCCTCGGGCGTCTGCAGGAGCAGCCAGAGTACGACTGGGGAGGAAGCGGGTGCCTCGGCAGGGGGGTCTCTCCTGGAAAGAGTTGGGGAGCTGCCCACTAGGGGGCGCTCTCCCCCGGTGCCCCCCAAGGCTGCAGCTGATCCCATATGATATCCTGGTGCAGGCTGGGGTGTGGGGAGGTAGCTGGTGCTCTCCCTCCATAACCCTCCCTTGGGGCTGCTTTGCCTGGCGTGTTGCTGTGGGCTGTTAAACCTCTGCCACGTTCTGCCCTAGAGGTGGCTGAAAATCCGGCACAGCAGGAGCACATGGGACCCCTCTCGGGTTTGGGTCTCAGTGATGCTATTCAGGCAGGAAGCATTCCCCTGGGAACGCCCTCGTCCCGGAGCCTCCCTTGGGGTAAGCACCCTGCGCTCGCCCTGGTCCCAGCCCCCCAAATAGGGGGCAGATCCGGGATGTTGCTCTGGCTAGTCTCTGCTTCCCTGGCCTGCACTGAGCTGTGAGAAGCTGAGCGTGACTTAGAGCAGCCTCCGGGCTGCTCTAAATTACACTCCGGGCCAGGCAAAAGCACAGTAGAAAGCCTGTGTGGCCAGAGCAGCTGCAGGGGTGGGTGAAGTCAGGACTCCTGGGTTCTATTCCCAGTTGGGGGGAAGTGAGGCCTAGTGGTTAGATCCGGGGAGCTCTGGGAGTCTGGACTCCTGGGTTCCATTCCTGACTCTGGGGGTATGTCTACACTGCAGAGTTTTTTTGGAAAAACGGCTTGTTTTTCCGAAAAAAAACTCATGTCCACACTGCAATCGCATTCTTTTGAAAAAAAATCGAAAGACCAGAGGGGCTTTTCCGACATGGGTAAACCTCTTTCTACAAGGAAGAAGCCGTTTTATGAAAAGGCTCTTTTGGAAAAAGCCGTGGGTGGACCGGGAAGAGGGAGTTCGTTCGCAAGAAGAGGAAAGAGGAAAAAGCCCAGGTGGCCATTCCGTCTGTCGTCATCACAGCTGACATGCGAGAGAGCATCCATGCAGTGTGGACGCTATCGGTCGAAAAGGCAGGTCGCTTTTTCGCTGCGCTTGGGCAGTGTGGACACGCTCTTTCGGAAGACGTTTTTTCGGAAGATCTCTTCCGGAACAGCTTCTCCCGAAAGAAGCCTGCAGCCTAGACATAGCCTGGAAGGGGAGCATAGTCTTAGGGGCACAGCACCGCCCCTCCCTCGCCCTGGGGAGGGCAGGGTGGCAGGTTCAAACCCCGCCCCCCACTCTGGGAGCAGAGGGGTAGCCAATACACAGGCCGTCTGGGTTGGAAGGCAGGATAAGGGATGCCCTGAAGGTACAGAGGAACAAATAAAGAGTCGCTGCAGAGGCCGGTGGGAGAAAGAGGCTCGTGCGCTGGGGGTTGCGTGCGCAGTGGGAGCGTGGGTATGTGGCCCGGGCGAGCGCGACGGGCAGATACTCCAGGCTAAAGGCCTCTTCCTTTTGCCAGACTCTCCCCGCCAGGGGGGCTGCCTGTCAGGGCTGCCTGTGGTCTGGGGCCGGGCCAAGGCGCATTCAAACACGACACCCCACCACAGGCCAAGTCCCTGAGGAGCACGACACTGCGGGGGGAGGGGAGCTTCCAACCCACCGTCGCTGCGGAAATTCCCGAATTGCCGAGCGGCGGGGCGGGGGCAGGAGTTCGCAGCTGGGCTGGGCTGAGGGGAAAGCCCAGAGCCCTGTGGGAGAGTTTGTTTGTGGGGGGGGTGCGGAAATTCCCGAATTGCCGAGCGGCGGGGCGGGGGCAGGAGTTCGCAGCTGGGCTGGGCTGAGGGGAAAGCCCAGAGCCCTGTGGGAGAGTTTGTTTGTGGGGGGGGTGGCTCACCCAGCTGGGGGGGGGGGGGACTTTCTCCAGA